GTTAAACACTGTTATTCCCGCTGTGCTGATTGGATTATTCTTAAGCTTTTTCTAGCATTCAGGTGATGCTTGCAATCATTTGTAGCCTGTCAATTCTACACTGCAGCGACCTCTTAAAAAATATGTCGGTATTCCTTCATCCTTTCAGTAAACGCGATATACAGTACACTTCAAAAGCTTTATGCCTCTATTATTACACCTCTAGCGATTGCGTCGCACCCCTGTGGTAATCAAGAAATGATGACTTGCAAACAAAGCATGTTCGGCAGAAGTTCAGGAGAAGGAGACCTGAAGAGATGAAACATTTTTGAGGAGCAGCTACCTTGAAGAATATTATCTGATCAAGAATTGTTTTCAATAGCTTGTACAGGCATTTCTAGGAGTATATAAAAACGTAAATATTTGAATACTATTTTAAGCGTTGTTCTACTATTGCCTAATATTTTGAAATGCAAATTAGAATCACAGTTCAGATCCGTGCTTGAAACTGAAAACACGAAGAAAGTTCTTTTATATTAAGCCCAGAGTTAGGGAAAGAAAAGGGGCTGAGAAAGAAGCACAAGAAAATAAAGAAAAGGGAAACGAGCTCCACCAAGCAAGAAATAATCAGAACAGCAAAGGAGAAAAACAGCGCCAAAATTGGGTGGGCTGCTTGACAAAGGCATGGAGCCCATTATTGCTGTTTGAAGCCAATTCTCTTCCCGAGGTCTTCAGCAATGCTCGCTCATGCGAGTTGAGTGGGAATCAGCCAACGTTGCTGCCATTTCTCGTTCGGCCATAGTAGGCACATAGGCATTGCGTTGGTCCGAAAGGTGACGATGGATTGCGACAGGTGCAAGTGTAGGCGGAGCTGCAAGAACATGGCGCAATTCGTCAACGTCCGCAACTTCCTGTTCGCACCTAAAGCCTTCCTTCGAGAGGGTTCCGTGTTGTTTGTTCCGCTTGGGAGGAAGTGTGTTATAAAATGCCTAATTTGGTACAGCCCAGAAAAAGGCCGCGGAAAGTATCTCGGGTTCCGAGGTCACAATCCAACTTATTCTCTGAGAGGCGAAGCTCTCGATTCACACATTATCAGTGTGCGTGACTGCCTGGACGTGTGTGTGTGTTGAGAGGGGAAAACAGCACGTGTGCGTGTGCGTACGGATGTGCGTATTGATACCACTCTGGCCAATTCTAACCGAAGATTGACATCAAGAAACATTTGCATAATCACACAGTTGGTTCACAGCGAAGTTCAATTTGCCGCGATAATCCCGTGCGACCTTCAAGATTTCTTCGCGTTTACGGCTCCATGGCACCTTTCGAACGTGACAGCTTGATGTTACCCTGAAATGTTCCTTGAAAGGAGCTACACGGAATAGCACTCTTGGGATAAAGTTCTCGACAGGATGGCAATTCCTAAAGTTGTTCTGTCTATACACCCGCTCTTGCAGCCATTAGTAGCGAAGAATAGCTATGCCTGGCGACCCGCTTGTCCTTGCAGCGAAGCCTTTTAATGTCTTGAGACAAGGCGAGTCACGTTTGTTCACACAGGTGGACTCTATATTGGTGGGCCTAATGTAGTCGTCTCCGGCAACATTGCTCCCGCCAAAATATTTACTCCATCCGCTTAAATACTTCATTACTCATCGCTATACATGTAATTTCATCCGTTTATTCTCTTTCAGCAGACGAACAAACGCGTCTGTCAAGACCTAGCAATAACAATAGTCATTAACTATCATATTGTAGTTATCAAGCAATAACCCTTAATAAGATAAGTGTATGCGGGAAATTGACGCAGAATGGAGCAATCAGTAAACGTGCAAATTCTCAGTGCACATATTCATTGTTATTGTCTAATTAACCAAGTTGCTACTTCAATTCACTAGAATCATCTGAGCTTCGACATAACATATGTGTATAAATAGGGAAAGTTTTAAAGAAATCAGTTTGCTAGAACGTCCTGTTCATTATGTACACCTTACTCTTTCCACGTCTTCGAGGGCGCAAACTTACTGGCAGTAAACTCGTACTAGATCCAAAGATCATCGCTCTTAAATTACATATTTGCAAGTTTTGTGCGTTCGTACATAGCATTACGCAAAAAAAAAAATGAAGGCCCTCAGCGTAAGTCTACAAAGTTCTTTTTTTTAAAGGTGAAGATGTTTCATGGAAGGGGGACGACCATACGCGCGATGAAAAGAGAAAAGTAAAAAGGCAGATCCCACGTACAATGAGAATCGATGATATGCGAAGCACGAATGAGAAATGTTAATATGTCACTTAAAAATCAGCACAACGTTACGAGGCGGACGTAAATTATGCCGTGCATGACTTCCATGCCTTGATTATCATGTTCGCGCCTGGAATTTGTGTTCATCGTTCATTCACGTCACGTGATACCAAATTTGATCTATGTGAAGCTAGCGGAATGGCCCTGAGCGCGTTATGAAAGGAGCATGTAGTCATTTTTTACATTACATGCATATCATGATTGTCACGTTTGGTCGTGTCATTTAGCTTCGCCGTCTATTCACTTCGCGTGATACTAAACTTGGTATATGTGGAGCTAGCGAAACGATTCCGCTGTTAGCGTAGCATGCAGTCGTGTTTTAAATGATACACATGTCACGATTATCGTATTTGTACGTGTCACTTACCATTGTCGTCCATTCACGTCATGTAAAACTTAATTTTGTATATGTGAAAGTACCAAAACGACCGCCCTCTTCTTCCCCATGTAGCGACGTTAACCCAAGCGTCGGAACTACATGAGGATATGGGATGGACAGGCTTTGAAGTAAGGGAAGGTCAGTGTGAAAGAGATTTGAAGACGGGCTTAGAAAAATTAAGGAAAGTAGATGGGCATAAGAAGAGCGTGGACACAAAGTGGAAAAAAAGAGCTAGGAGTCTCACCAGTAAATCTACGGATGGCAGTGCGGGCGATATGGCAACAAGCAGCCTTATGCGAAAAGTCAACGGCGGAGAGCATATAATGGATGACAGTGATGAAAAAGAAGCCGGTTCTCAGTAACTACCGAAACTGCAAAAACAAAATAAGGATGGAGAAATTTTATGATAATTTATTAGGAAGCTCATTACTGCTCGAAGTGAGGTCGGGTTGCGCGTACTTACAAAGCAAGATTCAATAAAGGAGAACAATGTACACGCTGTGAGGAGCTAAGGAAGTGATTGAAGTCGTTCTGATTGAATGTGGCAATATCCAACCAGGTATACATTGGGTAACAACCCATATACCTAGGCCCTTGGTTTATGGACAACCATGGAAACTTGAACATGTATGCGACAGAAGCAAGTGAGAGATGGTTAGAGTATTGGTGGTAGAAAAGTAGACATGAAAGACAGAAATGGTTGGGGAAATGAGGTTATTAGGCCTGAAGTGAAATGGAGCTCAAATTTATACATTTATTTCTTATAATAACATCGATTTATCAAAGTAGATAAGGCATTAAGCCCATGATAAAGGGAAGTTTTCAGTTTTTTTTCGAGACTCCTGGCCCACATATGACCAGCCTGTTATCAAGGGGACGCTCATAGCGTTAATCTATTCATCCATTCATCGGCGTTGCTCTCAACATCCATGGAGACCAAAACAAATTGGCAGAGTATCCACGGAGTGAATGATGGAGAGTGGGGCGAAGCATTCGTCCGTCCATTCATTCTTGCTTCCGTCCGTCCATGCATCCGTTACAGCGTATGTATAGAATGGAAAACTCTTTGGAGCAATGGGAGGCACTCCTCGCTAGCTCGGACCCGGAGGTGCAACTAGCACTCCTGGACCACGTCCGGCAGGCGGCGCAAGCCAGTGGAGCCTTGGACATGGGGCCCCACCCATCTAGCTCCTAAACCCCTTCTTTTTCAACCCAATAAAGTTATTTCTCTCTCTCTCTCTCCGTCTGTGTGACCATCCATGCGTCCATCCGCCCATCCGTGCGTGCGTCTGTTCGTGCTTCCATCCCCGCGTTCGTCCATGCATCCGCCCCTGCCTCCGTTCATGCGTCCATCAATGCATCTGTCTGTGTGTCCGTTCGTCCATCTATTCAACACTCCAAGTCCCACCATTTCGCATCTTTTTATCATATATTCCCCATAAAGAAGCACCGCCATCCAGCGGACATTCCAAGGACTAAACGAGAGGTGGCACACGCACACTTTCTTACGGCTTGCGCTTTGGGTCTACTTCCCACCTTTCACCATCTCGAGTTCATTCATGGTATATACTAGTTCATTGTATTCATGGCACTGCGGCACAACGCTCGTTAAACCTTTCTAAAACTAAGGAGGTTACACCCAGCGAGTATAACGTAGCAACCCTTTCTTGTCAGATAGTGCTCAATGTGCATGTCAATGGCTGCTAATGGGGATCGCAGCGTGCGCCTTGCCTAAAAGCCGAATGCTCCTGTTTCGTTCCCCATGAGCAGCCATTGGCATGTACATTGAGCATTATTTTATATTGTTCAACAACGCACAGAAGAAATCTCTCACCGGCACCACCTTGGAGGTCAAAATGTTATACTTGTTACACACTACAACGGCTACGAGGGACGAACGGGTGCCGCTATTAGGGGCTTCGCCCCTAAAAATATTTCTACTATATGGCCAACATAGCCATGCGACAGCCGCCGGCTTCGCCTGACTTTGCCTTTACGTTAACTCCCCGTCGCCCACTGGCAACTCATCTCTTAGCTTCCCTTTGCCCAGCGGATAACCACGGCTGGCCAAAGGGAAGACACGGGTGGGACTGTTCTCACAACAAATCCGTGCAGGGCGGGGCCTCGCCGCGATGACGTAGCCACCATTTTCTTTTTTTTTTCTCTCTGTCTCTCTGTCTCTCTCCGTTTGACGGCGCGGTACGCGGTCGACGCGGTCGCTGTGGTGGCGTGCACTCCACGTGAGCGAGAAGCGTGCACTGTCTTGTTAAGTGGCCGGAAAACCGGAACGCAACGATGAGCGAGCCTCCTGACCGACAGAAGGTGATCGAAAAGTGCCTCCAAGGATTACGTCATGACGACGGCTACTCTCATGGCTACCTGAAGTCAGACGAAGAGCTAAAGCTTTTTGAGAGGTCCCTGGCTGCCGTCAACGAGAGGTATGCTGTGCGGACATCAAGAGACCTGAGCAAGTCGTCTAAATGTGAGGATGTCTCGATTGCTTCTTAATGAATTGATCTGCGCGTAGATCTAGCATTGAAACACGCAGTAGTAATTTAAACCAGCTAGGGACACGGCAGGACAGGCTTCTTTTCAGTTGCGGTTATTGGTTTTCGCCTTTTTGAAGTTAGGGTTAGGTATCATTGTTTTCGTTACCGGTTCACAGTTCCCCTGGAACCGATTCATTTCGGTGTGAGTGAAGTATTGTTCGGATTACCGGGCATGACCCGATCTTCAGAGATTCTATAAACGTTATTGGAGCTGTAATTGGCGCCTTGTCTGTGTCTGCATGTTTCTTTGGTCCCCGTTGCTTAGCGCCCCAAATAATTGAGTTGTAACTGAACTGTATTTTTTCGGTTTTAGTCATGATTAGCACCGCGCTAGCAAGCTAATAGTGACATGGCCGTGCGTGCCATCCGTGGTCCTCCAGGAAGTGTGAATTAGACTTCTAGAGCAAGGCGGGCCTGATGTTAAACGCTGTATATGAGAAGCTGAAGGGTCAGGGTCGAGATTTTTTGCCCAATTATATTAAAATCACAAGGCCCAACCAAACTGTAACGTGTTGGGGCTGCTTGTAAGTTGTAACTTAAAAACCACATAAAGAGTCTGGGTAATTATTAATAATAATAATGATAATTATATTTATTATTCTGGTTGACGAAAGCCAGAATTTCTTGCCAGAGGCAGCGCATCTTAAAGTTTTTTTGCTGCCATTACACAAAAACTAAAACAAGATTTGATATTGCCCTCTGCCATGCATAAAACTAGGTGCCTTCATTAAATCATCTTTATTGTTTATTTTCAGCCAATGTCGTCTTCTCCATGATCCACTGCGGATCTCGAATCTCTCTGGACAATGTGCCGTTCCGAGTTGTCAAGGAAACCGTCAAAGTGTGCATATTTGGAACGGAGTACTACAAGAAAACTCAGGAGAAAAAAAAAGAACAGGTATGTTACATGGTGATGCACTTCCAAAAGTTTCAATCTCATGCACATATCCAGCAGTCTTCCCGTTCAAAGATTGTGTGTAGGCAGTGTAAAGATTTACTTTAAGTTACTACAAGTTTACACGAGAAATAAATATTGTTAACTTCATTTACAGAGTTCAAGTACCACTGACTGGCAGAAGGAGGTGTACGGGAAGAAGTGGGTGAACCTCCAAGGCACAAAGAAGAAGGGGTACGCAGCAACAATGAATTTGAAGAGGATTGAGTTGTACCCAGATTTCCAGGTATGTAATGTGCAATGACAAGTAAAAAATAATTCCAGATTAATTTCTGGGGACCTTTATCATGTCATTTATGATTGTGCATTCCGACACAACACAGTTGGTTGAAGATCATTATGGTTTCCAGCAGCGCAACAAGATGAGGGCAAAGTCAAGATGAGACAGAAGACAGCGCTCTATATTTCCACCATTGCCAGTATATATACACGTGAGAAATAGCAAGATAAACAGAGTGTGAAAGATAAAATGAGCACAACGCATACAGTCTCGGCATCTAAGCCAGGACTGTATGTGTTTTGTGCTTTGCGCTCTTATTTTGCTATTTCCCACATGTATACATACTGGCAATAGTGGAAATATACTTCCAGCTAATAGTTCAGCGCTGTCTTATGTCTCATCTTGACTTCGCCCTCATCTTGTCGCACTGTTTGAAACCATAAAATATGATCTGTGTACTTAACAGTGCCTGCTTTCTAGGTGGATGTGCCCCAGCCATGCGGCCAGACAAGAGAGGGTCGTCTGAAAGCCGACAAGGCCAAGGAGCTGCAGGAGGCACTTGACGCAGAGCAGCAGACTGTGGCCAAAGAGACGCGGGTATATGTTAGGATTGCCGACTGCAGTTCCCATCAAAACCATTGTTTTGAGGACATAGAAGCTTTCAGCCAAAACATAGACAAGAGCGTTGCTGATTGAATTCAGATGTTGGCAAGAGAAGGCATTACTTCTGTATCAGATGTGAAAAAGTGCCTTCACTATTATGTGCACGACGTAATTTTTGCGAACAAGAAGAAGCCTGATAGCAGCTGCAGGGCCTTTTTCCCAACACATCGTGACATCAGCAACCAGATCCAAGCTGTGCTTAAGAAAGACCGCTTCAGCACAGTTGATCAAGAGAGTGCTAGAATCCTAATTGAAAAGATCAGGGGTGAGCAACCCGAATCCTCCGTTGTCTATCGGCCGTATGCAGCACGCAGCTTCGTGGGTAGCAGCGACTCGGACAACGTGGAAGAGGGCATTGCCAGCGAGTGTGAAGACACGTTGCTGTTTTGCTTCCAAACAAAATTCATGAGGAGCATGCTTAAAAAGTACGGAGGCTCAGTAGTTTGCCTGGACGCAACGCACAAGACGAGTGACTATGCCCTACCACTTTTCTTGCTTGTCGTGAAAACACCGTCGGGATACACACCAGCTGGTGTGTTTGTCATACAGTTCGAGACGGCCCACTGTATCGCTGAGGCTTTAGACGTTTTCAAGCAGTGGTGTGACAACTGGTTCCCACAATACTGGATGGTGGATTATAGCAAGGCAGAAATAAGTGCCATCAAGCAAGTGTTTCCAGAGAGTCAAATCTCTATCTGTGACTTTCATAGACTACAGGCATGGCAGAGGTGGCTGCGCAGAAAGGAAAACAACATATCCGATCCAGATGAGGCCCTGAGACTCATGAAACACGTAGCCAGTGCTTCAAATCAGCATGACTTTGACAAGGCGGTTGAAGTCCTTGTTGACTCTGAGTATTGGAAAAACGAAAGATTCCGCAGTTACATTGAAGAAGTGTGGCTGTCAGTAAAGGAGCTGTGGGTCATGTCTTACAGGCTGGAGTTTGACGTTGTGTTGACCACAAATAACGGCATTGAGGCCCAAAACCACGTGTTGAAGGCACAGTAAGTGAAAAGTTCCAGCGGGAAACGGTCGTTAACATCCCTGATCATGACTGTCGTTCATGGCTACCTTCCCGACAAAGAAGCGAAATTCCATGAGGCAGCAAGGAGGCAGTCATCAGCGTACAGACAGTACAGTGAAAATGTTCCTGAATACCTGCACAACCAGCCTCATGGTTTCGTTAAGCATATGCTGAGACGGCTCGTTAACGCAGAGCAATACACCCCCACCGACATGGAAGAGGTCCCCGTTGAAGGTGTGTTTACGGTTTATTCTGAAAGAAGTGATGATGATCTGTACACTGTCGACTTCACCAAGCCATCGTGTACCTGCCCTGATTTCAGGAAGCACAAGTACCCATGCAAGCACTTTTGTGTTGTTTTTAAGTACGGCGACAGATGGGGCTTTTCCTCTCTTCCGCAGAGTTACCTCAATCGACCGCAAATTGCTCTTGGAAGCTGTCCAGAATCCGAAACAAGTTCCGAGATTCCCCTTGTCAATCAGCCCAGCCCTTCTGAAGTGTCTTCACAGGACCTTGGTACAGCAGCATCAGAGTCAGACATTCCCTTTGTCAATGAGACTAGCTTTTGTGAAGTGCCTTTACAGCCCGGGGTTGCTATGCTTCCTGGGACAGCAGCCCCCTAAGTGTCGAAGCTACACAAAAGTATAACCGAGAAATTGGAAAAGTGCAGTTCCCTCCTTTACTGCTGCCATGACGTTCAAACACTGGTGGAGGCTAGGGGCTTATTGCAAGCCACCTTCCGTAAGCTGGCTGAATCTGTGCCACAGAGTTCTGGCCTTCACATTCGCGGCTCACCGACAAAAGGATGCTCGTCTCTGAAGCCTCTTCCGAAAAGAAGACGCCTATAGTGTGCTGTCTCTCTGCCATTGACTGGAGCTTTGACTGCTAGGAAAGGATCGGGGCAAACGGTAGAGATGGATCAGTCGGTGATTTTTTTTCATTCTTTTTAAAAAATGCAATTGTTGCAAAACTCAATTTATTTTACCATTCATAACATTGGCTTAAACACAGTGTTCGGACATTTTTGTGAATAATTTTTAGAATGTTTAGAGCTTTTAAGATTAATATGGTATGTTTTATACTAGACTTCATTATAGTCATGCAATTGTGACATTGGCAACGACTGTGTATGTGTATAAATGCAGCCATAATTTTTTGTGTTGGTGATACTCTCAATTCAGAGAGTGTGTGAAAGTATGTTTTTAGGCTTTTGCTTTCAATCTATGTGTATAAAACTGTTTGTAAAGTTGCATTCTTTCTGTACTTGCTACGGGCGTGCTTGCTTTTATACTTTCCTTTTGACATTTTAATATAGTACCTGTTGTATGTGAAAGCATGGTAGTACATTTTTTCGGGTGGTCATTTCAAGATGTATTCATAGCGTGCTTGTAATATCCATAGACTGTAAATAAACCAAATGTGAGAGAATGCGTAATGTGCACAAAAAGTTTACTGTGAAAATGTGAAGTATGGTTACCTACACAGCAGAGCGATTTCATCAAGACTGCTGCAACAGCTGTGACCGGTTGATGTAGAGGCTGGGCAAACAAACTGGCCTTTTTTTTAGGGCAACTATGGGAACTACCCCCTCAGTGAAACGCTTTAGGTATACATTTTGATACTGCAAAGGAAAGTTTGACATCCACCTAAATGTGGATGTCAAACTTTCCTTTGCAGAATCTTACTCCACCTTGGGGGTTTCCCCTAAATCTGGTCCATATTGATACTACTGACTTGGGCGACCTGCTTAATTATTCAATCTGAAAACTTTTTAAATGGCACCATATGGGAATGGGGATATAAAAAGGGGTTGCATAAGGAACACGAATGCACAAGAAAATATTACCGGAAGGTGATCGTCTCAACTTAGCATCTATCAGCTAGTATTTTTGAACTAAAGTCTTTAACATGTACATTTAGTATCGTGGAACTAGAAATAGTCAACGTAGAGCTGCCTAGTTTTTGCCCGTCATGTATCCAAAACATGCAACCCAATGTATGGTGCATACTACATAGCCTTTTCATGCAAAGGAGAGAAGCCTCATGAACCCTCTTCTTTGTGCCTTGGAGGTTTGTTCACTTTTTCCGTACACTCCTTCGGCCAATCAGCGGTACTTGCATGCTGTAAATGAAATAAAGAATATTTATTTCTGGTGTTTTCGCATGTTAACAGACACACAGGTCGGCTTTGATAAGTGCAAAAAAAACAAAACAAGCCCATGTTTTTATAGTTCACACCAGGGATGTAGCCATGATTTTCTTTCGCTCGCAACTACTGATGGGGGGAAGGCATGGCAAAACGTCAAAGGTGGGAGAGGAGGTAGAAGAGGTCCCAGCAAAACTGAACATTTCGGTGTGCAGCAACCCCCGGCTATGTGTCTCGTTCACAGTCATAATGCTCTTGGGCTTTTCCTAAATGTATTCATTGGCTAGAAATACCCCAAGGGCCCCAAAAGGGGCATATGTATAAGGGAAAATACGTTTAATACATCTGCCGCAAAGTATGCACCTTACACTGCCTGCACACAATCTTTGAACTGGAAGGCTACTGCATATCTGAATGAGATTGAAACGTTTGCAAGTGCATCACGATGTAACATATTTGGTCTTCTTTTTCTCCTGTGTCTTCTGCTAGTATTCCATTCCAGATATGCATACTTTGACGGTTCCCTTGACAACTGGAAACGGCACATTGTCCAGAGGGATTCGAGATCTGCAGTGGATCACGGAGAAGACGACATTGGCTGAAAATAAACAATAAAGAGGATTTAATCAAGGCACCTAGTTTTATGCATGGCAGAGGGCAATATCAAATCTCGTTTTAGTTTTTGTGTAATGGCAGCAAAAAAAATTTAAGATGCGCTGCATCTGGCAAGAAATTCTGGCTGGTTTTCGTCAACCAAAATAATAAATATATTTATCATTATTATTAATAATTACCCAGACTTTTTTCGTATGGCGTTTAAGTTACAGCTTACAAGCAGCACCAACACGTTACAGTTTGGTTGGGCCTTGGGTTTTTAATACAACCCTACAAAATAGCTCGAAGCTGACGCTTCAGCTTCTCATATGAGTTCAACATCGGGCCTGCCTCGCTCTAACGTGTAATTCACTCTTTTAGCAGGACCAGGGATGGCACATACGGATGTGTCACGAATAACCCAACCACAATTCGTGTCTCGTGTTGCGCACGATTGCTTTTTCGGTGTTGAAAATAACATAAATGTTAATTCTGAA